TTAAAAATAATAATTATTTTTTAAAAAAAAATATATCCGCGGGCGGCTCCGCCATGGTTGAGCCTCCCCAGTGGGGCGGCTTGAGTCATGGTAAGCCGCCCTCTTGGGGCGGCACGGGTCATCAGTCCTAAATTTCGTCAAAAATTGCATTTTTCTGAAATCGTCATCAAAATACGGCACGTTATCGTTCATTTTTCTTAAATCGTCATCAAAATACAACACGTTAACGCTATTCTACGTTCGCAATAGTTTCAAGATTAGAAAATGAAGCAAAGGGCAAAAGCGTAAAAATTGGGGCGGTGAATAGCAAAAATGGGACGGTATTTAGCAATCCAGTATAATTTTTGGTCCTCAATTTTTGAGGGGAATCAATCACATAAGCCCCTCATCTTCAATTTTGACAAATTTAACCCTTAATAATCAATTTTGATCAATTTAACTCTTATAAATTGGATAACATGCTAATAGAATCGTTAGAACTTAGGTTGTGTTTGGTTTGGGAGAAGCAACATTGCCGGTGGGAAAAAGATTGTCATCATGAGTGTCAATGACTTATTGCTGGCAATATGCATTTTTCCTTGTCAATGAGAATATGTCATTGCCATGTTTGGTTTGCCAATCATGAGTGGCAATGTCTTGAATGTCATTACCATTTTTGCCCTTGCTATATGATGAAAATTTTGCTATGTATTGAAAATTTTTGCTAAGTAATGAAGGGAAACTAATTTGGTTTTCATACAAAACAGATGACATAACTAATTTGTGTTTCTTGTGATAAAAAAAATGAGATACAAATATATAATGATGATAAAGCAATCTCTTTCAAGCTTTAATATACTATCAAATTTGTTTATATCATGATGTTATACTATCAAATATATATTCCAGCATCAATATTTTCAAACCAAATCTGTTTGAACAAAATCAACATTTCTGTAATTTTGTCTCAACAACATACTCAAATGATATTAATCAAATTTGTTTTTGGCCTTCAAATTCAATTCGGCCTTTCTACAAAATCAACATTTCTGCACAATTTTTCAACAGTTTTTAAACAAATTCAATGTGCAAACCATGCACTCACTAAGCTATGCAAATGTACAAAAACCAAGTTTGTTCAAACTAAACTAAAACAGCCATGAAAGACTATTTGAAACCATGTTCAAACTAAAATCAAATAGCCATGAAAGACTATTTGTTAGCATGTTCAAACTAAACTAAAAGTAGCCATTAAAGACTATTTGTTACCTTGTTCAAAATAAACGAAACAGCCTATAGCAGCTGCATTCACTGAGCTACTCCCTCACATACTCTTCTTTGCACTCATTTGGTAGTGCAAAGTATAAGTCAACATTTGACTGGTCCTTGATGATGTGCTTGGAGACCCTAATCTTTTCTGCATGGCTGTATCATCACCAAAAAAAAAAACCCCCCCACAAATGACAATCCATTCTAAACACCAAATATCAAACAAAAAACCATTCAAAATAAGCCAAATGCCAAACGGGTTCTTGTGTTCTATTATTGCTCAAATGGTTCCAGAAAGACTCTTTCAAACAATTCCAGAAACAAGTTAATGGGAGCAATATTGTGATTGTTATTAATCCTTCGGCCAAAAAAAAAAAGATTTATTTGTCATTTGTCTTTAATTTTTTAAAATGGAGATAGGATATGTTCAGGTAAGTGTGTAACACATATATTAGCATTCATCGCCAAGACAACCAACATATATGTAGTAACAGAGAAAATGGAATTACCATTTTGTCCAGCCTTAAGATGCACCACATTCATCCAAGAACAAATTATCAGGGGTATTTTGGTACTTTTACACTCGGTATTTTCGTTATTATTGTTGATTGTTGATGGTGTTTTAGGAACTTTAGGATAAAGTTACTATTTGGTGGGTGCCACTCTCAATAAAGAAATATTTTTTTGTTGGATTATTTATCAAATGATCCTTAAGCTTTTATGCTTTATGCTATTTAATCCTTTACAATCATAGGTTGGACGATTTAACATTTCGGCTTTAATTCTAATATTTTTTCCTGTTTCTCCGATCAAGGTGATTCAGGTGCCTATTTAAAGGTAATTTCATGGTCTACAACTTTCATAGAGGACTCAAAAGCAAATTAGAATGTTTTGATTCTAAAAAATACTTTTGAAATTTTGTGGTCTCGATTGTCTGTCTATCTAATATTGTATAATTTTCGGTCCACTTGTCCGATTAAGGTTGTTCAAGTGTCGACTAAAAGGTTATTGTGTGATTTACGACTTTCGTCTAGGACTTGAAAGCTGAATTTGATTAATGAGTTTCGTGGAGAGTTCAAGACAGAAATTTTATGTTTGAACTCCATAAACAAATATTTTTTCCTTGGATTATTTATCAAATGACCCATATACTTTTATGCTTTATGCTATTTACTTCTTTACAAATTCTGGGTTGGACGCTTTAACGCTTCGGCTTTAATTCTTTTACTTTTTGTTTAATTTGTCCGATCAATGTGATTCAAGTGTCAATTGAAAGATAATTTAATGATTTGGAACTTTCATTAAGGACTCAAAAGTCAATTTTGAGGTTTCAGTTCTGAAAAATGTTTCCGAAATTTGGTGGTCTCGCTTGACGGTCTATCTAATTTTGATTCATGTGTCCGATTGAATTGTTCAACAGTCGATTAAAAGATTTTTGTGTGATCTACGACTTTCATGAAGATGAAGGACTTGAAAGCCAATTTTTATATTTAAATTCTAAAAAGTGCTTCCGAAATTTAGTTGTTTCATAACTAATTGTTCTCTCCCTTCACAATCCCGGCGCAAAGCGCGGATCCGGGACTAGTATGTTATTAAAACTTCTATTGGGAAATTACAGGAATATGCTAAATCAACTTGTATTTTTTAAAATTTTTAGTATTTTTTAAACCTTTTAATTACATGTTGCATGACGTTGTCAACGCCTCAGTGGATTTAACAATTCTATTAAAAATATCAATTAAAAGTCAAATTAACCAGAGTTAAATAGATAAAAGGTCAAATTGACATTTGAGCGGAGACTTTGGTGAATAAGATCTTGAGTTCGAGAATTGTAAATGGAAAAAAATATGTGTAAGAAGAGTTTCCCTATAATTGGAATCTAACGCGACTCGATTCTATGTTAATAAGAACCCAATGTGGCTATAAGATACTGGAATGTTCGCAAAAAAATTAATGACATTTTAGGTGTAGCTTGTAGCAATACCAAAGGTTTGTGCTATGTGTAGGATTTTGACTTCTAAGATGAGGCTTGTAATACTTTTTTCTTTTTTGTAATTGTGCTTGTTATAACTTATACGTTGAGTCTGACTTAGAGCCATCTAAGTAGTTTTGTAATGTTTTCTTTCCACCTTTTTATATATATAAAAAAACATACTTTTTTTTTGGTAAATAAACGGGGCCCAAGGCCCAAAAGAAACAAAAGAAAATTACACAGCCATAAGTCTTGGGTAAGAGATACCCAAAGAATCAGCAAGAAGCAGACCACTGCAACCAGCAGGGGCTCTACTTAGGTTTTGCAATTCTGGATGTTGAAGGCAGCTCCATTTTGCCACCCAGTCAGCCAACATGTTTTTTTCTCTTGGGATAAAATTCAGAGACCAAGTCCATGAATCATTCAGCATACCTTTAATCTCCTTGACGAGAGGATACAGTGGATGATGAGGATCAACATCGCCTTTAATAGCTTAGATAGAACTGCAGGAGTCTGACTCAATCTCCACATGATTCAAATTTAATTGAACAGCAAACTTCACACTATAGTAAATGGCCCACATTTCAACAAGGTCAATACTACAGTTCCCCACATTAGCTCCAAAACCACCAATCCAAGTCCCCTGTGAGTTTCAAAATACCCTACAGCCGCAGCAATGCTTTTCTGTTGGTTCCAGCTTCCATCGACATTTAGCTTTAGCCACTGCTCTTTCGGTTTATCCCAACTCAAATGCACCACCTGTTTCACTTTACAAATAGCATTAGGTGCAGAATCTCTAGTCCACTCAACCATCGTTTTACAAATAATCTCAATTCTTTTACCAATAGGGATGGACTCATTGGAAAAAATTTGTCTATTCCTCCATTTCCAGATCAGCCAGCAGGCATTGGAAAAGAGACTTGGCCAAGACTAGTCCCCAAACTTTTCATCTTTGCAGCCTATGACATTCAGGTTGACCCATTCCTCCAGGTTAAGCGTTCTACTATTAAGGAATTTGCTAGAGATCATCAGGATGTCCCATATGGGTTTGGCATTGGTGCAATCCCGTAAAATATGGAGTACCGACTCAGAATGGTGACCACAGATCCAGCAGGAGGGATCAGAGGTGAATGATCTAATCTTTCTATTCTCGTTACTAAGGATCCTGTTCTAAATCGCCAACCAAAGAAAATTTTGGATCTTAGGTTGCACTTTGATCTTCCAAATAGCTTTGACACAAGGGATAAAGCACGGTAGATGAGCATTCAAACTTTTAAAAGCTGATTTGGTTGTGAAACTTCCATTGGTGGTCTTGCTCCAAATGATGCAATCAGCGAGTTGTGTAATAGGATTAACAGGAATGCTGATAACCCTAGCAATGAGAGCACTATGAAGATATTTGAGTAACTTCCCCACCATCCAACCATTGTCATCAATGAACTCACTAACCAGTATATTCTTTGCCCCTCGACTTGGCACCAAGTGGAGAAAGCTAGCCAATTTGCTGTTATCGAGAAGCCATTTATTATACCATAAGCTTATTCTTGGGCGACCATTACTTAGGAGATCCTCTGCTTTAAGAATACTTTTCCAAGTGTGAGATGCTGAGAAATTACCTTGGGTATTAGAATGTGAGAGGTATTTATCAATGAGAATTTGCTGCCATAATTGATCATTAGACTGTAACAATCTCCAGCCCATCTTAGCAAGGAGGGCAAGGTTCATATCACGAGTCTTTTTAAGCCCAAAACACCTGCCTCTTTCGATTTAAAAACAGTATCTAGTTCATTAAATGAACCCTCCTCTTTCTAGGCGTGCTTCCCCACAAGAAACCTCTGTTCAACTTGTCAATTTCATCGCATATCGCGATTGGAATATGGGTTGTTTGCATTATGTAATAGGGGATGGGGCCCGAGGCTGACTGGATAAGCGTGGATCTACCTGCAATGGAGAGATGACTCACTTTCCAGCTTGCTAGCCGAGATTGGACTTTTTCAACTAAGCCCCAATATGTTTGTTTTGTCACCCTTTTATGAAGTAAGGGGACCACGAGACACCTACCCAGATCATCAGTTTTTGCAATTCCACTTGCATCACAAATTGCCCTCATTAATCTTCTTAGAATATTCTTGGTTATGAAGATTTTGGATTTAGCCAAGCTAACTGTTTGTCTAGACCACTTGCTGAAGTCGTCAAGGGACTCTTTAACCACTGTCACTTTCTCTATATTGGCTTCGGAAAAGAGGACCAAATCATCGGCAAAGAAGATATGTGAGATCTCAGGACCTCCTCTCGACGCTCTAACTGTTTTCCACATATGCTCCAACAGTTTACCTTGAATAATCTGAGAAAGTCTCTCCATCCTTAAGACAAAAAGGTAAGGGGACAGAGGGTCCTGCTGTCTTTAGCCCCTTGTAGGTTTGAATTCATTTGTTTTTTCTCTATTCCAAAGGATTTGGAAGGAAGCTGTGGTGATGCAGTCCATAATGATTGAGAGAAGCCAACCTTCAATGCCAATCTCCTGAAGAGCTTCTTACAGAAAGGACCACTCCATCTTATCGTAAGTCTTTTTTAAATCAATTTTCCAGATGGTTGCCCCATGTTTTACCTTTTCTCTTTCTGAGTGAAGCATCTCTTACGCCACAACAATATTATCAACAATTTGACGTCCAGGTACAAAGTTACTTTGTATGGGGGAAATGAGCTTAGGCAAAATGGGTTTAAGTCTTTCTACCAGAATTTTGGAGATCACTTTATAAATCACATTGCAGAGGCCTATTGGCCGAAGTGGGTGATACTGGTGGGATTTTTCACCTTTGGGATAACAGTGATAAGAGTTTTATTGATGCCAGCAGGTAATTTACCTTTCTCCACCGCTTCCTTGACCATCGAAATAAAATCCTCTTTAACAATTTCCCAATTTTTTTGAAAAAAGATGGCCTGAAATCCGTCCGGGCTAGGAGCTTTCAGCGGGCCAATGCTAAACATAGCTTTTTCAATTTCATCTGCAGACACTGGTCTATGAATAAACTCAAGCTCCTCTCTTGGAATTGTAGGGAAAGAGATGGGAGAACCTGGATTAATAGGGTCCTCTTCTTTACCTGTATAAAGTTGCTAGAAATAATCAACTACATGGGCTTTAAGTTCTTTTTTCTCCGATATCCAGGTGCCTTCCTCATTCTTCAATGCACCAATTATGTTTTTGCTTTTTCTGACCAATGCAATCGCGTGAAAATAGGAGGTATTGCGATCTCCAGACTGGATCTATTTTGAGCGAGATTTTTGGAACCAAATAGCTTCGTCTCTTTTGAGAATCTCTTCATACTCAATCTGCAAGTTTTGTTTCAGATCCAATACAAATTGGTTTGGTCCTCTTTCCAGGGCTTTTTGAATTCCCCCTAATCATGCCATAATTCTCTTCTTCTGGAGAAAGACATTTCCAAACACAGATTTATTCCATTCAACCAATTGTTTCCCAACTTGATCCAATTTAGCAATGACATTACCCTGCCCTTGACCCCAAGTTTCTCCAAGGAAATCTTTGAAGTGTTCATGACTCAACCAAGCAACTTCAAATCTGAAGGGGCGTAGAGCAGGCCTAGGGATAAACTGGCCATTCAAATCAAGTAGAATTAGGCAATGGTTTGATTTAATTCTAGGGAGATGGTTTACTACAGCTTCTGGGAACATGATTTTCCAACTGGAATTGCATAACACTCTATCAATTCTTTCCCGTGGCTATGATTCCATTCTCTTTTCTTCTCCAAGTGTACTTCTGCCTAGTGAAGCCCAGATCCAAAAGCTCACAGTGCGAGATTACCTCTTGGAATTTTCGACATCTATTAACATCTCTACTATTGAAGTTAGATTTATCAGCCGATGAGGCTATGGTATTGAAGTTACCACCAAGGGCCCAGGGTCTGCTAGAACTATCACTCTTATCTTTCATATAACGCCATAATTCTTCTCTATTACCTGGGATGGGGCTGCCGTAGGTCCCAACTCTTATTATTCGCCTTCACAGAGATAGTAACTGCTTGGAAGAAGTGTTCTTTGATTCACACATCCACCAAATTATCTCTCCAAAGGACCCAAATGTCACTCGAGAAACCCAATCCTTCCTCAATATGCCACTTTGGGAAAGCCTAACTTCTTCACCACTTGTTCAGCTCAGGAATTATTAATTCTTGTTTCCATAATCGCAACAATAGTGGGGTTGTGTTGCTTGATCAAACCAAAAAAACTTATACGTTGAGTTGCTTTGTCTACTCTTCTGAATTAAAAACAAAAAAGTCACGAGAAAAGCCCAATTGGAACACATAATCATGAGCTCATTTATTTAATTAGTAGACTGCAGTCGATTCAGGTCATGTCGTCATGGGCTTTAGAGTCAAGTCCATACTTCGTAGCCAGCTAGACGTAAAACGAGCTCTAAATGTGAAGAAGGCAAGCATATGATAATTACATTTACAGGGACGACACAAACAGTGGCCCCTCGAGCCGTCCCTACACTGCTCAGCCCATTTGACAATGGAGGGCTAAAAGTGGAAGCATATTGGAGGTTTAAGATTCAATATTGTTAACGTCAATACGTCATTGGCCCCTTCAGTCATTCAAACGTTAAAACAGCTTAAATGAAGTAGTCATCTAACTAGCCTTCATCTTCAAATCTGAAGGAGAAAGCAAATGTGTTAACTCCAGATAGACCTTTTTTTTTTTTTGAGGGAAAAGCATCAAGGATATGCTTAATTCATTCAATTAATAAGGTCTCTAGATTACAATCATGAGGAGGAAGTTCTCCGCATCACACATATATATTACAATCAACTTTTGCTATCCTATATTGTGCTAATTAATTCATTGCCTTCACGGCGGACATGGTGGAAGGAACATTGAGCAAAGTTTGCTGCAAGCTCTCTAATCTCATTTATCAACGTCCCTCCTTCCCACAAGAGAACATACAAGCTGCAGTACCCTTGGAGTGAGCTATAGTCCAAACTTGATGGCATAAGTTTCTGCAAAGAACGGGATCCGGCTCAAAACCCACACATGAAACTGCACTAAACAATACATCTCCATTGGAGTCCGTTATTTAGTCATACTTTCATTCATTAATTAATATAATTATATTTAAAACATCCATTAAAAATTAGTCACGAGTTACAAAAGGTGGAATTAATAGAGAAGATACTAAAAATTAGGATATATTACTATTGTGGTAAGATTTTAAGTTTTTAACTAAACTATAGCACTTGAAAAACTTATTTCCCAATAGATTTAAACTTATTTCCCAAATTATAATAATTCTTTCCATTTAGGTTTACATGTCATATTTTTTATTTTTAAATTAAATAAATTACCAACCAACAAACGGCGTCCCCCCCCTCCCCCGCAACCAAAAAAAAAACAATGGCGTTCTGAAGAAAAAGAGAAAACCATTTTGATCCAATATGCCAAGCTACGTCGAAACACTCCTTGGGTCTTCTTTACTGATCTTTCCCCATCTCTAAAATTGTCATTTTATGAACTTCTAATTAATCATAAAGGTATAGGTTTGGTTTTATTTTATTAGTATATATATGTTCAATAATTCCTTGAATCCCTCTAGTCTTTTATATTTTTCCAGGCAATTGAATGAACGGATCAAAGATTCATATGATAAAAGGACGATTGTTATTAATTTCTTTACGCCTCTTCTATAACCAATCTCATCAATTTTATTAGAATATATTTTTTTTAAATTTTATTAGAATATATATATAGAAATATATTTTCTTTCTGTTGTAACAAAATCCATTATGATGAATGCAGAATGTTGCTATATTCTACTACTCACTTCTCAATCTTCTCAACACCTCAGACCCGGATAAAGTAACAAGTGCAGATCTCCTTTATTCTGTGCCGTAAAAAAACTGCTTTTGTAAGAGAAAATGATGTGTTTCACTTAGCCATCTACGATGACCCAAATAACAAAATTTTTTCCCGTTAGATAGCCATTTGGAGCAAGTCTCATCAGCACAACATGGGCATGCAAATCTACCTTTCGTGCTCCAACCAGACAGCATAGCGTAAGCTGGAAAATCATTGATTGTCCACATTAATGCAGCACACATATTAAAAGTTTCACCAGTAGTAACATTATATGTTTCTAACCCATCCCATAATTGCTTTAGCTCTTCTACAAGCGGCTGCAAATAGACATCAATGTCCATTCCAGGACTTTTTCTCTCCAGGAATGATCATTGATAAGATGAAGGAAGATTGTTTGGTACATATCCAAGGAGGCACATTGTATGGGAAAACAAGAATAGGCCACGTGCTATAAACACTACTCATCTTTTTAAATGGATTAAACCCATCACTTATTAATCATAGCCTAACATTCTGTGGATCACTAGCAAAATCAGGATATCGATCATCAAATGCCTTCCATGCAGCAGCATCTGCAGGATGCCTCAACAAACCATCCTTTATCTGACCATCTTCATGCCATCTCATAAAAGGTGAAGTCTTCGATGACATAAACAGTCGTTGAAGCCTTGGAATCAGCGGAAAGTAACGCAGAATCTTTGCTGCCTTTTTTTTTTTCCTTTCTACAACATCATTCTCCTCTAATTCTGAATTTTTATCACTATTAATCCACCGAGAAGCACCACAAACATCAGATGACTGCTTTCCACCTTATCACCTCGATACAACATGCAGTCATTGGGACAAGCATGAATCTTTTCATAACTAAACCCCAACAACTTAATAAACTTTTTACTATCATATGAAGATGTTGGAAATGATAAACCCAAACAAGGGAATGCATCCACTAAGGTCTGGAGAAGCATGGTAAATGATTCACCACTCCACCCACCCAAACATTTTATATAGAAAAGAGTAAGGATGAATGATAAAAAAGTGAACCTTCCACATCCAGGATAAAGCTTTCGATTTGCATCCTCTATTAACTTCTAGAACTTAGATGCCTCCTCATTAGCACCATTCAAATGTTCTACGCCACTAGCTGAATCCCCACCCTCATTAGCATCAAGATGATCAAAATCCCCACCATCATCATGCATATTATCACAAATATCCTGCTCTAACAACGGATCAACACAAGAAGACTTATTAGCTCTAAATGCTACTTCTAGCAACTCTTTCAAAGGATCAAATTCTGAATCTATTTGGGTGGAAGAGTCTTGAGTAGGAGTTCTATTTATGGAAGGAAGAGGACTTGAGAAAGACGGTGTGAGAGGCTCCCCCATGAAGTATCCAATTAGTATAATTTTCAAGAAAACCATTGCATACTAAATGATCTACTACAACTTCACATGTCCTTCTATGACCATTTAAACACTTGTTGCAGGGGCATAAAATCCTCCTTTGGGTAAAACCACCAAAAGCAAAGTTAATAAACGCCCTAATTCCATTAAGATACACAATACTGAGCCTAGGTCGACTTATCCAACTCTTGTCCATTAAAACATAAAAGCACTGAAATAAAAAAAAAATTTTATATCAAGGCAAGCAAAGAAGATAAAAACAAAAGAAGATAGAAGATAAATATTATAACAAGACAAAACACAGAATTCATGGATTATTTCAATAAATTCTACAATGAACCAAGCTTATAAGATTCCAGATTAACAATAGAGCAACAAGGCCCTTGGACATTAACCTTACATATATACAGCTATCATTGGAAAATAACAGAAATTAAATTCTAGAACTGAACTGAAATGAATAAACCTTATTGGAAAGATTTCTCTTAACATATAGAGTACTTATGATTAATATTTACTGCATAGGATAAGCAGTGAGCATATATACATATATTCCCATCTGTAAAATAGCAGAATCGAAACTTACATTTTTTGTTGTTTTGCTGAAAGCTTCCTTGTGGCTGATGTCTTGATTATTAGCCTTGATCCTTTGGATTTCCTCCCTGCCAAAACAGGAAAGTTAGAAGGAAAGAGAGGGAGTGGTTAATTATAACTCTTATCAACCATATATAAATAATAATCAACGATGAAATTAACAAGGAAACACTGTTACATTGGGTTAATTATATGATCTAAGGGAGAGATCAAGTGAAACAAAACAAGCATGAAATTGGCAAAAGATTGCCAGCTGAAAGCCTTGAACTAAACTTGGTAGCTGAAGCTTACCAAAGTTGGATGGAATATTGCTTGATTTTGTTAAAATCATTATATGGAAAGTTATTCTTCTGCTGTTCACATACAGTACATGAACAACAATCTATGTTAAGTTTGAAAGAGAATTCAACTCTAAATTATTACTAGATTATCAATAAAGGGCTGGTCTGCTATCTCTGAAATCAGGTTTTTCTCAGCAATTCGAATTGTTTCATGGCCATAAAGTTGTATACTATTAGCCAATCACATAAATCATAGAGCACAATCCAAACATGCCTCTTAATTCCCAATAAAACAATACCATAAAATCCACCGCTCACAGTACTACATTTTTTTTAGGAGCACAGTACTAAATTAACCAAACTAAAAAATCATATATATAATCTGTTAATAAAGATTCTAGAAAATTACCAACCAAGTACCTGAAACAACGTAATGAAATTGGAAGGAAAGTTTATTCAATCAATTAATCCAAGAATAAGCTAGCCAAAATCCACGACTAACACATCAAACCCAGCCGCAAAAATTTCAACTATCGATAAGTAAAAACCGAAAGAGGTTGCTCATATACCAAGCCATGGAAAAATTTTAATTGGAAGAGAGAAAACTGAGGAACTGATCTGATATACAAGTGCACTGTGAAAAAGTTAAAGAAGACTAAACCTTATACGAATAAAATATGAAAATGTCGAAACGTTCGGGGGATCCTGCCGATACGACTTTGGGAAAATGAGAGTCGCCACTAATCTTTTTTGCCTAGGTGTGATTAGTCACCTACAATTATTAGACTCATGCTTGACGACGGACAAACTAAGTCTAATACTACGGTCCACGAACCAAAACCTGAGTTCGGGAGTCGGTTACGTGTGGGGAAGGATTAGCACCCCACAATGCCCGTCAAACGACAGTACCTCTAGTCTAAACTAAATCTAACGGGTTTAATATTAAAGGTTGCTTTTATCTTGAATATTATCGAAAAGGATTATAAAAGAAAAAGAAAATCATTTTTAAACAAATGTCGAGAGTTCGAAGAATATGATCGAACGACCGTCGATTAATTCTGTTTTCGATTCTCTTTTACTGTTTGTTTTGTTGATCTTTTTCTCTTCGAAAAAGAAATTTTGAAAAATGCTGTGATAAAACCTTTTATTCATTTTTGTTCTTTTAAAACTTGACCAATTTTATTATTTTCCAAAAGTCTTCTCTTGGATTTTTAAAACTTTTATTTTCCAAAAGTCTTCTCTTGGAAATGCTTTAAAACACACATTCTTTTTGAAAATGCTTACCTTGAAATCTCTTTGATTACCATTTTTTAATTTTTGAAAATTGAATAAGAGAACATGGTTGAAAAACCTTTTTCCAAAACAAGTTTTATTGCATCTTTTAGTTTTCTGATTTTTTCCTTTTTTTGGATTTTCTTTGATTTTTTCTAACTTCTACTCAATGCATGAATGCAGATGATGAATGCAAAGCCTAGTTATTTAAGTTGATTCGCGTAACCCGGGTTATTGAAAGCTCTTTCCGGGATATATGCTCGGAGCCCCGACACATCCCGAAAAGAACCGTCTCATTCTCGGAGACATTCAGTGACCCCGAATACTCGACCACACATTGAAAGTCCCTTCTTCGAAAAGCTATGGTTATCAACTATCATTTTGTGGCACGAAATGCAAACAATTAAGTTAACTGAAATTAAACATGAAGGAACCGTTTGTTTTGATGTAATTTAATCACTTTCTATAGAAAGTATAGGGTAGGAAATAACTTTAGCATGTTTGGTTATTTTTTTAAGAGAAAGTTTAGGGTAAGAAAGTTTAACTGACCCAAATACTTTCTCTCCAAAGTGAGAAAGTGCTTTAACACCTGGGAGGTGTTAAAACACTTTCTCACTTTTCTCATGAAAGTAATTTAAGACAAAATTACTTAAAAGGGTCTTATTTTTAAATTTAAAATACTCATCAAAGGGCATTTTAATAAATTTAACTTTATTTTCTTAGGAATTTAATTTAGACTTTAAAGGTTAAACAAACATGCTAAACTATTTTCTTAAGAAAAAACTTTCTAGTCTTAAACTTTCTATAGAAAAACTTTCTACCTTTTTACTTTCTATAGAAACTTCCAAACGGCCTCGAAATGCAAATGATTTAATCATACTTGACTATGACTAAATTCGCTAATTAACTAAATCAAAGTCTAATTAATTCAAATTATTAGGAAATTAAAACTAATTCTAATAATTAGGGGTTTAAACTTTAAATTAAACCTAAACCTAAATGCATAAAAGACTACCCAAAAGCCCAAGTAATAAGCAAAGCCCAAACCATAAATAAATACCAAATTAAAAATGAAAGCCCAAATGCATCAGTTAAAAGAGGCCCAAGTCAGAATTTACCCAAGTAGGCTTAAACGGGTCTAAGGCGGGTCGAACCTGGAATCGGGTTGGGTCGTATGGGCGGTATAAGTACTTAAACAAACCCTAATTTTCAGCTTCCTTCTTCCTCTTCTCCCCGGCAGCCACACCTCACCGTCCTAGCAGCCCCGCTTCAAGCTTCGTTCATCACCCTGGGATCCCAACCTCACCACTATAGCTCGCTCTCTTTTCTCCATCTCCCTTTCCTTCTTTTATCTTCTTCCTTCTTTTTTCCTTCTTATTTCTTTTTCTTTTCTTCTTCTTCCTCCTTCTTTTCCTCAACCTGAAACCCTAGCGTTTAGGCCTTAGCAGCGCCGCCCTTGCTTCTTTCCTCTCTCTAAAGCTTCGTTTTCTCTCTCTCTCTCTCTACGAAACCACCGCGAATCACCGTTATCCTACTGATCGGAAACCCTCCGACACCGTCAAACCTCTCCAAAACGCCTCCTTTCTTCTTTCCAAGCTTAGATCCGAACCCAAACTTATCACACTCCCAATTAAACGCCATAGACCTACCAACCCGAGACTCCTACCATCACTTCAAACCCCTGAGATGCCACCCACTAAAAACGAAACACCAAAAGCCCTCAAACTGAGAAAGGAACTAAGGAGGCAACGGGGAAGAGAAGGCTTCAGGGGGCTCACTCAAACTCCCTCTTCTCGACTTGGACTTCGAGCTTCAAGAATGGTTCGCCTCTCTTCCCTTTCTTTTTGTTTTATGCCATTTGTTTGTTTGCGAGTTTGGGTCCAATTTTTGTGTATATTCCGTGTATATGTGTTTGGAGAATAAAGAAAGAGTGCGATGATAATGATTGTTTCAGAGAGAATTTAGGATCGAAGAGAGGGCCTCAAAAGGGAGAATGAACATCAGTCTGTAGAGAATGAGAGAGTCAGTGTATCTAGACTTGATAAGATCCAATCCTCTCCACTACGAAGTACCACCTAAAATTTTCTTGGCAGGTGAAATTGCGATATTTTGGACTTCGATGAGCTGTCCTGGTGAGTCAGCTAACAGATTCCTTGGATTCCCTTTTTTCGGTTTTCATTGTGATTTTCCCTTGGCTTGATATTTGGTGTTTATGGTTGAAAATTACTCTGAAAACTCACTGCACTTATCGACTTTGTCTTCTTGTCAGGTGATTGGATGAAGAAATAGCAACGTGTGGTGAGCTGGCTTCATTGACTGGCTAGCAGGTAATTTCCTCTAACCGAATATGGAATCCCCTGCTGCTCTGTTTATATGCATTTTGTTCATGTGTGCCACTGAGTTGTTTGCCTATTTGTAATTTTGATCTTGATCCTGTGATTCCATGAATTTCTCTTTTTGGTGTATTGAATTGTTATTGTTATTGCATTGAATTCTTGATCCTGCTTTGATGATTGTGAAGACCCTGTTTGGTTGCTGCAAATATTGGTTCAATCTCTTGTGCCTTATTGATTTCCTCTGCTTGTTTCCTTTATTCCCACAATTAAAGCTGTAGCCATTTTGCTGCTCAATGTTGGTTGATCATTTGCTTGCTAAAATGCCGTTCAATGGTCGTGACTTGATGAGATTGATCTACTGTTTGAATTGCACAAATTTATCTTGTTGACTCTATGCTTGCCTCAACCCTGTTATACCGTAACCGCCTGAAATCTTTCCACTGCAGGTTTGCCACTGCCACTTGGAAATGCTCTCCAATTTGTGCGCTACCAAACTTCAATGGAAAGGGTACCCGTGCACAAATGTCATGAATAGAAGGGGCACACTTTTAATCAATTGAACTGGACCTTTTTATTCGTCAAGCCCTTCAATTTATTCCTTTTGACTATGTATCCTTAATAATTTTGGACTTGTGCTCAACAAACATTGGAACTTTGGATATCTACATATTTTTTTGTCTTTTCTTTGGATTCTAAAGAAAGTAAGTCATCTCTCTATTGTAAAAGGAAAATGTCAAATAGCCTGCATGCAAATGAACATATGTGACTAATAAAAATGAATATAGAGAAAAATGACCATGCTTAATGAAAAATGATCATTAATATGATTAATGGGAAAATGAAAATAAATGGGACATATTTAAAATGAATATTGGTTAATCTAAATTAAAAGTGGCCCTAAAATGACTAAAATACCCCTGAATGTAAAAATGACCAAAATGCCCCTTAATGTGAAAACGACCAAAATGCCACCTAGGCGATCCTAATGCCAAATAAGAAATAAATGAAGGATATAGGACAAAAACGGGTATCTAGGCTACATTTGACGTCAACCTTAAACCAGGAAAGTACTTGAAATTCCTATATTCAGCGTATCTAACTCTAAGAAATTGACCTGAGATTATTTTTTCGAAACACAATCATAAAATCCAAAAAATATAAAATCCAAAAGAGCCGAGCAATTTAAACACTAAACCAAAATATAAAACAACTTACGAAAGATGGAAGTGAGCCAATGTGCGATTTCAAAATTAGATCCAATGATTTTTGTTTAAAAAATTAGAAAGAGGAAGATAGTTAGGGTTCGTTAATTACTAATTAAATTTTAGATGAGGAGAGAAAATTTATAATAAACACAAAACTTAGCTGAGATTGTTGAAGCTACCAAGAAGAAGAGCTTGAGGAGCAACCTTAATTTGCAGAGAATTGTAAGCCGAGATAGAGAATTCACAGTTGTAGAATTTGAAGCGAGAATTGGAAAAAGGAAAAAAAATAAAAAAATAAAAAATGGCCCAACTTTAGCTGACGGTTTCTTCAAGGCCCATTACATCAAATACAGAAAATCATGTATTCAACAGATACAGCGGGTGTACCAACAAGGGGTTGGATCAAGTGGTAAGCGGCTTGTTCCAGCTTAAGCAGGTCTCAAGTTCGAGACCTTGCGTACGCAGCTGCCCCTGTTGGGAGGCTCACCCACCATAACCAGGTGCACGACGCGGGTCGGATCCGGATTAGTCAGGGCCAGGCCTTGGATACAGCGGGTGTTATATCAACCCCCATTTTTTTGTAGTGTAAGGGAATTTTGGGTTATAAGGGTTCGGTTAATTTTCGGTTTTAGGCTGGGTTGGGTTCGGATGGCTCAAATGTCGAGTCATTTGGGTTTGGATCAATTTTGGTTCGGGTCCTTTCGGTTTCAGGTCATATGGTTCCGATAATTTCGGGTTTTAGCCTCTGATTTTCATGTTCAAGT